AAAGTCCTTGTTGCCTGCTGCCTTCGAGTAGGAAAAGCTGTGCCAAGTACATGGGCACAGGAGGTGCCATTGCACACACACACACACACACATACATGAAAAAAGAAAACAAAGCCAAGGCCAGTTCGACATTGTCGCCAGCACAGGTGGCACAGGTGGTGTGAGCCACCTGGCTGTGCGAAGCGGGCGCCATCGCTCGCCCAACTTAGTTGCAAGTGAATAATTTTCCTGGCAGCAGCTTGAATCGGGCTACAAATTGATATTCATTTTAAGTGGACACACGGCAAGTGAAGCTAATATAGAGGATTTGTGGATTGGAGGGTTGAGCTTGTGCTGTGAAAATTGATTATGGCCAGGTTAGCAGCAGAACCCGATTAGAGCTCGAATCGCTTTGAATCTAAGCACTTAAGTCGCTTTGAAATTTGCAATATTTGAGAGTTATGCGAAATTAATCGATATGCATATGCAGTATAGTAATTGGCGTACTAATACCCTGTAATCAGCTGTTGTTTAATGAAATTATACCATTTAGATACCAATTAATGCTATCTACACTGCATAAACAAAGTTGAACCAAAGTCGAAATCAAATCAATCCAGTCGATTGTCAGTTTTTATCGATAGCTGTGGCTTGCTTTAATAAATCGATAAAAAACGAACTGTTTATTAGCAATTCGTGAGCGAATTAAAGTTGAAACTTAAGATATTTAAGCAATTTTTGGACCGCTGTGGTCAGCCGAGGCATTGAGGAAGATACTTTTTGACATGGGAAACGGTTTCACAGCTCCTATCTAAATTTCCAAGTGAACACGCTTATAAAACGCACAACGCTTATCGCCACAAAGCGCACTAATTCCAATATAAATAGCCGGCCAGTGCGAGCCGCAGAAGGCGCAACCACAACGACAACGACAACGACGGCAGCGGCAACCGCAGGCAGCAGAGTCGCAGCGGCAGCCAACGAAGCCAAGGCAGCCGCTACACATAACAAATGCTACCCAATAAAACCAGTCCGATAACTGTTCATAGCCGATTAACCGAGCGGCACGCAAAGCGAACCAGACCAGAGACCAGAGACCAGAGACGGAACGGCGAATGGACAGATGGAGGGACGGCATCAGCCAGAGGCAGTTGCAACAGTTGTCGCTGGTTGTTTGATGAGCGTGAAATACAACAAAGTTGAGAACAGCAGCAGCAACAACAAGTGCGACAGCCTCTGTAGAGAGAGAGAAAGACAGAAGTAGAGCGAGAGAGGGAGAGAAGGTGAAGGTGGCCACTGGCCAGGCCACTGTCTCAGTCCTCGCTGTCTGCGTCCAGTTCTGGCTGACAAAACGATCGTAAATAATTTTTATTTCATCTTTAAGATACGAAACTAGTCTGCGCTGGCAGCGCAGTCATCGCCACTGTCGGCGTCGCCGTCGCCGTCGCCGTCGACAGCAGCTCAAGAATTTAAGAAAGTTTTTCGCAAACAAAAGGCGATGATGCATATAAAAACAAAAGCCATTGGCGGTATCTGGTAACAGAACGACAGAGCGGACTCTTCTCGGGCCCCGAGGCAGCCACTAATGATAGCCCTGGCTTCAGCTTCAGCTTCAGCTCGAGCTCCAGCTCCAGCTAGAGGATCAGCTCAGCAAAGGTAGCACAGGTGAGCGGCAGAACTTGGGCATAGATCATGCAACCAAATGACGTTTGGTCTGCGTATCAGCTCAAGAACTGTAGCTGTGGCTGTGGATGTGGCTGAGGCTGTGGCTCTGGCCTTGCCTTTGCCGTGTGTGACCTGTGTCAATGGCCGCAAACGCAAACGCAGATGCAGACACATGGCAAGCCAGGCCAGGGCAGGGCAAGACAGGACAGGGCAGAGCAGGGCAGCCAGACCGGGCAGCCAGTCGAGCTCATCCTGGCAGAATGCGCGCAATTGAAATGAAAATATTCGCAAATTGGCTGCGCCCTGCGACCGCTGCGATCTGCGCCTCAAACTCTTTCTTGCTCTCCACCTCGCCCCCAAGCGCAACTCCAACAAGACGGCGATCTCTGGCTAAAGCCACGCAAATCCCAACCAGCTTTAGGTTAACTCGACAACGTCGCTGCCTGCCAACTGTGGCTACCAGCGATGTGCTCTGGCTCCGATTGCTCTATAGAAATAGTCAATGCAGCGGGAATACTTCGAGTGGATTAAGTAAGTAGAATTCGAATGGTAAATTAAGCTGAGTCTAGTAGAGCATAAGAGAATGCAAAATATATATATACTTGGTATGTGTATTTATATTATTTTTATACTATTCCATTTATATTAAATTATATATATTCATTTATTTATAAAAAATTACAGTTTTATTTTATTTTTTCAGCATTAATTAAATTTATAATGATTTCAAATACTTTTTCATTATTATGGGATCTTTGTTTATTTATAATATATTATTGGTCTTGCTTCATATATGATTTGCTCTTCACATTTCGTATTCACATATTGGATTACCTATGCTTGAGAATCTTGTAAATAATACGATTGGGGTTTGTGCTGTTTGTAGCTCACATTCTTTAGCATATATAAAATATCATATCATATATCAATAATCTAGTTTTATGTTGATAGGAAATTGTCAAGGAAGTTATGCAATTTACTCTCAAAATAAAACAAAGTCTTACTCAAAATACTTTTATCTTAAATTATATTATATATTACTAGCATATTTCTTTAAGCTCAGCTTAGATTTTACAGGGTATTAGCACATACAGCAATGCTTACCAGCAGAAATAATTTATTTCTCATTTTGCTATGTTGCTGCTGCTGCTGTTGTTGTTGTTGTTGCTGTAGTTGTTGTTATTGTTGTCGCTGGCTCTGTGAATGTTTTCATTTCCAGGCGAGCATGTCGATTTATTTGAATTTAATCTCTGGCTTAACATGTTGCGCTCTGCGGTTCAGTTCGATTTTACTCCTGGCTCTGTTTAGTTTTTTGTTTTGGCTGCTGTGCTTAGCATAGTCGGAGTTGATGGAGTCCTGTGTCTGGGTGTTAGCTGTGGCAGGTCAAAGAGCTGAGTCAATTGCCTAAGCGGAGTCCAAATAATTGCAAAGCCCGAGCCCTATAAAAGACATTTGCAGATGCCAGTTGGCCCCCAACTCGAACACTTACTAATAGATGCATTTTATGACCGACTATGTGTGTGTGTGTGTAGGAAGGTGTCCGGCATTTCCTGGGCCTCACTGTGCTTAGAGCTTAACTTCTAGTCGACGACCGCAGTGGAATTTGATTTATTTTATTTGGCGTTAAAAAGCCAAGCTGAATGATCATGTTTGGTGATCATCGCGCTCGATACGAGCAGAACCAATGAACCCAACGGACGACAGCGACGACGACGACGACGACGACAACAACGAAGAGCAACATGTGTATGTATCTGGGCTTTGCAATTGGACACGGATAGCTCAATAGACACAGCAACAGCAGCAGCAACGAGCAGCAGCAACAGCAACAGCAGCTCGTTGCCTTCGCCTCGCTTGGCTTATTAGATGAAGGCATATAATAAAAGTGTTGCGGCTGCCGTGGAGTTGCAAAAATCTGGGAATCGCAAGTGGGCCGGGAGGGAGGTGCTGCCAATGCCACAAACCAGTTGGTAAAAGTTGGCAAAAAAGCAAAGCAGCTTAGATGCATTTTTACAGCCAACGGCCAAGAGGCTGTCCCCCCGCCCTCCCCGCCAGCACGGCCCATCCCTCAGCGAGCCGCCGACTCAAACACCGATCTGTGCCCCGTTCAGGTTTACGTTGCGTTTGCTGCCTCGTTCGTTGGCTTTAATTTTTCCATTTGTTTTGGCATTTAAAAATGCGCTTCCTTGTGTGCCCATGAGAGCATTTCGCTGCATAGACATACAGTGTAATAGAGATAGTGACAGAGAGAGCAAGCGAGAGAAAGAGAGAGAGAGAGGCTGGCCAGCAGCAACTTCTTGCGACTTGGCCTTAGCTCTTGGCCAAATGCAAAAAGCATTGAATTCCATGGATACTATTGACCCCAGAGCTCTGGACGAGCACAGTTTTGGCAGCGGCTTCTAATGATGTTGCTGTTGTTGTTCTTGTTGCTGCTGTCTTTTGTGTGTCTCATTTAAATTTATTAAATTATATTTTGCAAACGTTGACGTCGGCTGTTTAAGCACACACACACACACACACACACATGCAAGAGGTTGTTGTTCTTGTTGTTGTTGTTGTTCTTGCACGAAAAAAGAAAAGCAAAACAAAATCAACAAAATAAACGCAGCGAATGTGCATTTCCAAGAATTTCGAGCAGCTGCTTCCTGTGCTCCAGCACAATTTTTGCAGCAGTTGTCCACAGTGCTGTGGCATGTAAATTGCAACAACAACTACAACAACAGCAACAGCCAAAGATACAAATGCACAGATACAAAAGCTCAGCAACAACGCACAAAATGTGCACGAGACACGGATCTTAACATTTAATAAGCACAGATTGAATGATTTGTGATATGTGAGCAGAAAGACGTAAAAAGAGTTGAACCGAGCGTGTGAAACGTGTTAGCAGCAGCAACAGCAGCAGCTAATATGCCTTACAGCTATTGCTATTGACAGGGTATAATGGTCAAATGAAAACATATTTTCATAGAGTGAGGATTTGCTCAACTCAAAGTATTTAATGAAAATAAATGTTAAAAATAATAATAAAAAAAAATTAAAAAAAAAATTTGATATATTTAATATATAAATATATGTACGAATGTTATCTTATAATTTATTTATTTAATGAAAATTAAAAAAATAAATAAATAGTTGTAAATAAAATACATTTCATTTCTCTTACGACCTTCAAAGTTCGTAGAGATCATCAAGCTGAGCTCTTTTTAGTCGACTAGTATTTACTGCAATTCCTTATTCATTCTTAATTATTATTTTGTGCTCAGCAAATCGGTTTCCACTTCAGGTTTGACTGATGTACAAAACGGAATCCTTTAGCTGTTCAACTGACTGCTGAATAGCCAAATGTTTGTTGCTTGTTTGTTGCTTGTTGTTGTGCATCTGTTTGATGGACATAATACAATGTGGCATGAGTTGCATGTTGAGGAGTATGGGCCAACGTGGTCTATCTGCCTCTCTCTCTCTCTCTGTCTCTCTTACTCTACCATTTTTTGCTGCGCTTTGCATCTCATTCTGTCAACAGCTGTCAGTCGACAGTTGAAGAGCGAACAAAAGGAAAGATCACTGTCAAAATTTTGTATTAAATAATAATATTAAATAAATATTAAAAAAATAAAATGAAACGAAACAACATGTATATACATACGTGCATATAATATGTGCGTGAGGTTGTCCTCGACTGGCGATGGTTGTTGTTGTTATTGTGTTGTTGTTTGCATTTTGAGGGCATTTAATGACTGAGCGACAGTGCCAGGTGAAATACGAACAGTTGCCAGATACCCAGACAGACCCAGACCGAAACCGAAACCGAAACCGAAACCGAGACCGAAACGCGGACCGACAGGACAGACTCAAAGAGCTAAGCACAGACAGGTCCAAAAAAATAAACATATATACTAATACATCTACATATACATATACATATATGTATATAAAAAACAACAACAAAAATTATGGAGGATGCGGCCCTGTGCACAAGGCGAAGGTGGAACGCGCGCGCCTGCCTGGAATGTCGTACCAGTCACAAAACGGAGACGAAGACGAAGATGAAGCTGCAGTTGGCTGAAGAGGGGATGGAGAAGGCGAAGGAGGAGGTGGAGATGCAGAAGGCCTAAAGCCATGCCAGGCCGCAAGAGCTCAAGACTTTGTTTTAAATATTTAAACTTGCTGCAGGATCCAACTTCAACGCCAACTCCGAGTCCAAGTCCAAGTCCAAGTCCATGTCGACGGATCTTTGATGTTTTTTGCTGCACTGCCGATTAAAAAAAAAAAAAAATTTATAATGAGCGACGACGACGACGGCGGCGGCCGCACTCGTATTTTATATTTTTGCCTCTCGATTTTTCGTTTCGATTTCGCATTTAGAGGCAGAAGAAGAGACCGAACGAGGCTCAGCTTGGCTCAGCTCGGCTCAGTTCAGTTCAGTTCAGCTGAGCTCTACCAACTGTTCGAGTCCCTCGCTCCATTTCCCCTCCCTTGGGTAACCCTTTGGCACTTAGTCAGTCATTTAGTCATTGGCCCGGCGACGACGTCAGATTGCGTCTGTTATTATTTTTATGTGCTTTTTCTTTGTCTTTTGCACCAATTTCTGCAAAATTTACTTAAATGCCACAGATACACACACACACACACACATACGCACGCAACTTGTGAAGAGGCAAAGCCAACTGCAGCGCCTCGTTCTGGCCATGCACAAAAGATACAAAAGATACAAGAGATATACATATGCATGTACACGCATGTACCTTATGTACATTTATATATAAATATATATGTATATTTGTGTGTGTTTATTTATATGTACAATCGCTCTGCTCATAATCCACTTTAATTTGTCTTTTGGCTGCCGCTTTTGTGGCTCGCTTCTTTTTCCCATTCTTGCCTTCTGCTGTCGCTGCCTGCACGAAGAATTTTAATTGAAACGAGTTTCAGACTGCAGTACTCAACTAAACGTAGGCCAAGTCCGAGAGTCTGCCACTGCCAGTGGCTCTGCCTCAGCCTCAGCCTCAGCCTCTGCCTCTGCCTCTGCCTAGACCTGGGTCAAGTTTGTCCAAATAAAACTCCCACAGTCAACGAAACTGGTCACAGCTAGCCAAGAGGCTGCCTCGACTGGCATCCTCCACGCTGAGCCTTTACTCTGTGCTGCTCTTTCTTCTTTTTCTCAGATGTTAGAAATTGGAGCATTTGATGGGTTCACAGAGATAGAGTTTCACGTGGAAGAACTAGATCGGAGATTTAGGATAATTATTTGGGCTAATGCTTAATAATACTATTGTTTATATAATAACTTTAAAAAGTGATGAAAGCTCCAAGAACTTATTTAAGTAAAATGTATGCCTTCTGAGAGTCACATAGTATGGATATAAAAGTAAAGCACTCTTGAGCTTGGTTAACATTAAGTTCCTTAGCTTAGTCCTTAGTCCTGCTGAAAGTCCGTTTTACTGATTTAACCTATGAGAATCAGAAGGAAAGGCTTATATCATATGAGTATCTTGAATTTTTAAGAATTTTCCCAAGTAGCGTTTAGGCTTACAGCTTGATAATACATGAGAATCACAATGTATAGAATTCTTTATATAGTAACAGATCATCTTTTACATATTGTAATTGTCATACACTTTGTAGATCTCACATTGTTCACATACATTTTTAATATGAATTTCTTACTGCCAAATCTTTAAATAATCTTCAGCAAAACTATTTGTCTTCCTAGAATTTTCCGCCAATGGGATCAGCTTTGCAGAGCATTAAATAGGTCGTCAGCAAGCCAAGAGCATTGCTCTGAGACTTTTCACTGCTCTTCTGATCAACTTTTGGGCTAGAGAGCAAACGAACCCAACCGGATTCCATTTATTTTGACAATTGAGCTCGCATCTATTGAGTCTCGGAGCAGAGCTCATTGCCGTTTAGTGAGGCCAAACGCAAATATTGCTGACAAAACACTCGACACCTGATGCCATCTACTGGTATTCGAGCCCAGTTGTGGACGTGGAGCAAGCAATTTGTCTAGAGCTGACCAAACTGGTCGAATGCACGTGCAACAACCGCCAGAGTGAGAGAGAGAGAGATGGCGAGAGAGGGAGAGGACACTTCTAAACTGGCCAAGTGCAGGGACAGGGACAGGGACAGGCACAGGGACTGGGCCTGGCAGTGGCAATGGTACTCGAACTGGGCCTGGCTTGAACCTGAGCCGGTTGCTCAAAAGCGACAAACAACAAACAGCAATTTGCAAAAAACTATTGACCTCAAAGTGGCAACGGCAGCAGGAGAAGCAGCAGGAGGTGCAGCAGGAGGGGCAGCGGCAGGCGATTGGCGGTCCCTTCATATGAGTTAAGTGCCGTCTGCTAATTGAATTCCAATGGCAATACAATATTTTTGGGCTATTATGTTATTACCAAAAGATCGGCGCGTTCCATCGTCCACTGTGCATGCTCCATGGCTGGAGCCCTTCACTTGGTCATGGCAATTGGGGCGAACTTTCTTCGGGAGCCCACGTATCATTAAATTCACACCCGAAAGAAGAAAACCGAAGAGCAGGAACAGGACTCAATTGGGAATTATGTTGTAATGCGTTGTGGTAATTACAATTTGTGGCCGGGTTAATGCGCATGTGCAACAACACGTCAACAGACGCACACGCAGCCAGTGCTGAAGTTGTTTGGCTGCTCACAAACAGAGCGAGGCAACAGAGAGAGAGAGAGAGAGACGTTGCGAAGGGAAACCTGGGAGTCTGTGGCAGCAGGAATGAAATTTGAAACTGGCTATGCTTGTAAAATGGCCCAAACATGCGCCACAACAGTTTTGCCAACAGTGGCAAAGCAAGCTGATCAAGCGACAGTTTTTTGTGGATAAGGCGGCAGGAGCGCAGCGAAGGGGCGAGTGGGCCTAGCAGAGAATAGAAGAGGGAGAAAGGCACCCGTGCATATAAATGTTACTCAAGCCGAAGGCCAGAGCTGTCAATACTTAGTTAGTTTTAATTAATATTAATATTATTATATAATAAATTAATAAATAAATATTTTATTCAATTTTAGCTAAAGCTGAAAACTAGCAAATAAATAAAATAAATGCTTAAAAAATAATTTATATATAAGATTTTATCTATCTGTCCTTACCGCCCCACTGCAACTGGCGCCCAAGCCCGCACAGCGCTCCTGCTGCAATTGCTGCGAATGGCCGTGGCGCAGGCGCTGTTTAGGCAACAGCAACAGCAACAGCAGCAGCAGCTGCTGCAGCTCGAAGTCAGCGCGCACGCAGGTGCTGAAAACTTAATTATTGTATAACGCACGACTCGTGCAGTCGGAGGATGAAGATCGGAGGATCTGGTTGCTATAGCTGCTGCTGCTGCTGCTGCTTGGGTTACTGAAGTATTCGCGGCAGCAGCCACCGTAAGTATTTGAGTTAATTAATATTTTTTGCCTGCTGCTCGACTTTGATGTCTCGTTGTTGTTGTATAAAAATGTTTTATTAATTTTGTTAATTAATTTTATGCCATTGAGCGCTGATAAATGTCAAAGCATATGAGCTAACCAGCTCTGTGTCTCTCTCTCTCGCTCTATCTTTGGGCCCCCAACTTATCTCATTCGCTTCGCCTGTTTGCTATTTCATTCGCACTTGCTTTCACTGCGTTTGGCGAACTGGTTTCTGTGCGCGCAGGCGCCAAAGCGCATGTTAAGGCAAATTGCAAACAACAACAACAACAACAAGCAGGACTCTCGGCAATTAGCGCACGCGCCTAACTAATTAAGCCAGCAACAGTTTCTTTCTTCCAGCTTTTGCCCTATTTCAAATCATTGGCCAAAGTTGCTGAGGATGTCCGTTGGCTGTGCATACCCGGTTTGCATACACACACACACACACACACGCACAGGTGTAACTGTCACTGAGTGTAACTATTTATGACTTAAACGAATTCGCTGTTGCATATTCTCACAGCCTGCGCATCGAGTTAGCTGAAGAATGTGGCCAATGCCGTTGCTGCCGCACAGTGGGGCAAGACTTGCGAAAGTCTATGACAAAATATTTAGAGAGTTTCAAAAAATTTTAGTAATAGAATGCGTCTCTGCAGCAAGGAGAATCCAAAACAGTAAATTCTTAAACGACAATTCAATATTTTCTCGAAGGAATAGAGGATTTGTTAAAAGTGAAATATTATTACAATTAGATACCCTTTTAGGCTTACATATGTATTGTATATATATTCAAGAACTTTCCTACCTTCAATATAATTTGTGTAAATGCTTTAATACCTTAGCCCCACTGTGCATTGTCGTCGAGCTAAACAAGTTTTCCCCCCTCAAGCAGGCCAGACTTGCATGCTGAAAAAAAAAGAGTATGCAATTGAATGATTGATTACTTGACTGATTGATGATTGAAGGTCTTGGCTTCGCTTTAAGTGACTGCCGACATGTTCACTGGGTGTTTCGGTGTTAATTACAGCGACAACTCGGCAACTGGGCAACAGAGCAACTCGGCTGCTTGGCAACTGGGCAAGTGCCTTCGCCAACTCGAATAGCTGACATCAATTAAGCATAAATAGCGCATAAATAGCGCATAAATAAATAAGCAAATCAACTGCTAAATATGTGCATTCGACTACAATTAATCGCCGCCGTCTAATACTGTCACTCATTCACACGTATTGCTCAACGCTCTTGCATGACTTTGGCTTTTCTTGTGGCTCGAGAACTTTTACGCAACTCTCAATTGCCTCAGGCGCATTCAATTGACTGGCTGATGTAAGCTCGATTAAGTACAGCATTTGAAAAGACAAGTCGTTTACTAGTGTTGCTAGTAAAGATGAAAGATAACTGTCTGAAATTGTCATAGGTGTCAACTGCTTTTCACTGATTGACAAACCGACTGATTGATGGGGTAAAATAAATTAAAGCCTACTGCTATTGATTATTAATGGATTATCACTAAACTTGTTGATTGATGGACTAATCGCTTAACTACCCATAGCAGTCTAATTGAATATTCAAATAAAGCAAACGAGCTGACTGATTGGTTGAATGGTTGAGTAAATTTATAGTCCACTGACTGAGTGAATTTGTGGATGATTGACCGACGCGCTTAACTGATTGATGAACTAAATTGCTCAGTGCTTGACTGATTGATTGAGCAATTTAAAGTGTGAATCAATTGCAAATGAAATGCCAGATTGACTTGCGGAATGCTTGAGTGATTGAATGCCTTCATTGAATTGATTGACTGATTGACACAATTAAATACGTGCCGAAGAGACTGATGGAATGAATTGCTGAGAGATTAACTGAGTGGCAGACTGATTGATTGACTGATGAACTTGCCAACTAATCAGGTAATTCATTTGGCATTTTAATTAACTGATTGATTGAATGTTTGATTTGATTGATATAAGTTGTTGATTGTTTGATAGACTAAGCAACTGACTAACTGATTGATTGACTGATTGAGGTCTCTCTTTGAGCGACTGATGGCTAGACTAGCTGCTTGATTAAATGATTGACTTACAAACTAAATAATTGAGCAAATAAATAAAACAAGCCGGTAATCAACACACTAGCCAAAATAATTCTAAATTTAATATGCCTTCAGCCTAGCCGAGCATACATATACACTGCACTAAATATACCGATGTCTTACAACATTTTCCTATTCATTAAGTTCAATTGAGAAACAATTGCAGAGCATTTGCTAGTCGATAGTTTAGTTAAGCTCCAATGAATATTTGTTGTTGAGCGCATGCCGTTGATAAAAGCATTTGCTCACACTCGCAAGAACACATTCAATACCTACACACACACACACACTGGTGCACTCACCCACAGGTATTTCGATAGCAACACGCAGCTGAATGTAAAATGCAAACAGAAATGGCATGATGCTCGCTGCTGCTGCTCCTCCTGTTGTTGCTGTTGCTGGAGCCCAACTCATCGTTCGTCCTGGCCCCTTTGGTGGCTCGGTGTTTACACGTATGCTGTGTACAAATACGAGTTTTATGTATGTTATTTACTCAAACGGTGCAGGCTGGCAGCCGCCGCAACTGTGAGCACGAAGGATGCATCCTGCAACGAGGCAACTTTGTCATTTGCATAACCTCTGAGCAGAGACAGCGGCAGAGTGGGGAGTGTGGAGTGGGGTGCCAACGCTTTATTTTAAAGCAATTTAAAATATTTAGTTGCAATTACATGTCAACAAATACGGCAGGACACAGGATAGAGAGCCGAGCAGAGAGAGAGGACAGCAAGGACAACAGCGCCAGCTCGTTTTATTTATTGACAAACACAAATACGAATACAAATACAAATATAAATATAAACACAAAGGAGCTATGCTCTTTAGCATGCTAGCCATTTGAGTGATTCACTGGACACATGCTGGACTTTGAACTCGATGCAGGGAAAAATACAAAAACAAAAAGCCGAGCATAAAGAATTGAGAGATTTTTGTATATTGCACAACGGTGCGTATGATTATTTTAAGTTTGCCATGGCCAAATATTGCGCATACGCAGCTCGGGCCAGACCAGTGGCAAAAACTAGAGACGAGAGTCTAGACAATGACAATGCCAAACGGCAGACAGCACAGTTAAAGGCAAGCACACACGGGAGTGGGAAAGAGACAGAGCGTGAGAGAGAGAACGAGACGTTGGTAGGGAGAGGGTGCGAACGAGACGAGACGTCGCCGACAAATGGACAGAAGATTTAATGGAAAAGTTGCTTCTGTTGTGGTGGATGGCAGGCTGCTGCTGCAACAAGGATCCAGCTCTAGCTGAATCAGGCAGGCAAACAAACCAAACTGGCAACAAATAAACGCCAAAGGAACACCGGGCTCAGCGACCAACGAGCAACGAGCACTGCGAGCACTGCGAGCACCTTTAGCCCATGTTGTCTGTTGGCTTAACGTTGCCTTTCATATGCCTGCCACATAGCCTAGTACATAGAGGCAGGCATTTACTTAATGTGCGGCTCGACTCCGTGTTGCATGCCTCCTTCTGCCCCTGCTCCTGCTCCTGCTCCTACTCCTGCTCCTGCTCCTGCTTCGTCGTTGCATGCAGCCACCTCGCCAAATGGCAGGTAACATTCAACGCAATTTCGCCGACAACGAAACATGAAACGAAAACCAATGAACGCCGCCAGCAGCGTATAGTGCGCCGTAGTCTATTGTAGCTCTGCCTGCCTTCGCTCATTGTCTGCTTAAAGTTCGCCTGCGAACGGGAGTTAGTTGAATTTGCAACTGAGAACCGAGACTGAAACTGTTAATTATTAATTGCTGCCACTGATCGATAAAGATGCCTGACTGCTTGGCTGCTTGACTGCAATCTGCTAACAATGGGCGGCTGAGGATAAGGCGCATTGGGCTTTAATGAGAATCGCATTGAAAGACGATACGATGGTAACTAGGTGTAGAAGAAGATTGAACTTGAATTAAATAGAGGGATAAGGTATGAGAGATGCAGGAATGATGAAACAGTATAAAGTAAGAGAGAGAGAAAGAAGAAATGAAGAAAGTAAGATAATAAAGCTGAAGAGTAAGTAAATCAAAGACGATTGTGGCCAGAAAAACTTCTGCGAAGGTTGAGTTGAAGACACAAAAAGAAGAGCAAGAAAGAATAGCTAGAGAGAAAGATGGAGAAGTGAGACAGAGAGCAGAATGAAAGGAAGAGGGAGAAAAATATAAACGAGAGCTATATAGCCTGAGATAACATAAATTATTGATAGGCAGACCAGAATAACAGAAATAGAGAAAGACATATTCAGCACAAATCATTGAAGAGCAATGATGTGTATGTATATGCAAAGATCTCAGCACTCTCCCAGTCTAGCGATCGAGTATGCAGATATGAGAGAGATAGAGCCCTTCTCTAACCAGAGAAAGGGGGAGAGAGAGAGAGATACTGGGCCATCTATTCACTCCCTTATTTATTGATATTTCAGTTTATAATTGCAGCTCTTTCCACGTTAATTAACTTGTTCGTGTCTGCAGTGGTAAATTGCTCTTTTCATTTAGCTAGTTTATTTATTTAATTTATTATCAAAATAAGCCGAGCTACAAATAAACAAACAGACGAACGAACAAAAGGGGGAAGTGCGGCGCCCCGCCGGGCAACCCTTTGATTACGCATTTACCGAATGTGTTATTTTAATTTATAGCCCGTAATTTGCAACAAAACAGCAGCAGCAGCAGCAGCAGCAGCAGTGGCGGCGGCGGCGGCACATGTGACACTCGCAACAGCAACAATCAACAACAAGAAGAAGAAGAGAAGTTAAGCATTTACAATTTTGCAATATTTGAAACCGCAGCCGGCAAACCGACTATTGGGGGCATGTTGTGATGTAGATGGCGGTCGGCGCCACGCTGTGCACATGTCATTACACTGCCCATTACAGTGAGAACACCTCTGTCTCCCTCGCTCCTTCAGCCATGCCACATGCCATATGCACCCGAACAATCCTCCAAACAGCATCAATCAACAGACAATATGTGGGTGGCAGGATATCGTTGATTCTAGCCATTGTTGTTGCTGTTGCTGTTGCGCATCAACTCTGTTAACAGCAACAACAACAACAACAACAGAGACAGCGACAGAGACAGAGAGACAGCAACAACAGCCAGCAGCACGTCGCATCATCATCAGCCGCAGCATTCAGAGAGACGCAGACTTATTATGTGAATTTATACGCTTGGGCAAACGAGATGTGTGTGTGTGTGTGAGTGTAACATCCTTTGCATATACTATACATACATACATATGTGTGTGTGCTTGTGTTTGTGTGGGTGTGCTGTTGCCCGGGCAAATGTTATGCAAATTTGCAACGAGCGCGTGTGTAAATTGTTGTATGCATTGTTACCTTATAAAAACAGCGTAATTTTTAAATGGATTTTTCGCAAAAAGTGATTTTCCATACAAATTAACAAAAAAACAAAGGACAGAAAGAGCGTGTGTGGGAGAGAGAGAGCGATAGACACAGAGAGAGAGAGAGAGAGGGTAGAGAGGAGGCGTGGGAGAGAGTAGCAAGTTTATATGTGTTATGTTTGTGAAAATGTTGTGGAAAATGCGGTGAAAATGTTGCATTGTGATATGCCATAAAAACTGTAAGTGGAGCATGAGCGAATGCCTAATGCTCTACGTAGCAGATACCCTATAAAAATTAAAATGTACACTATAAAATATTAGCATATAATCTATGGAGCTTAAGCTCGTATTATGCTGAGATTTATTGCTGTGAATGTTAAACATGGGGGCACTTTGTAAAAGTATTCCCTATATAAATATTTACTCAAAATAGGCCAACATTTCCAAGATAAGGTTTACGCTAAATATTATTAAGAGACCATTTGCCAGGGCATTTTAATTATATTTCATTGGTAACTATATCTGTCTCTTGACTATGATAAGAAAAAATACCTAAAATGAGAAAAATTGCCCTATAAAATATTTTAGACAAAAACCTAATGATGAGTTCTCATGGGAAGTTAAGGTGAAGACAATTACTATGGAGACTGTTAGAGGCAATACTTAATTCACAAATACATAATAGTCATAACAGAAACAGAAATAATATATATAAACTGAAGGACTCGCAGTTAACTATAAAAGCGATACAAACTATTGGCATTTTACCTTTCAGCAGATTGGCAATTGGATAGGTATACATATAGGTACGTATGTATATACGTATTCCTATAAAAAATATATGTACATATACATATATTGAGAACTATAGTGTATATGAACATATGTATACAGTGATTGAGATATTTGTATTTGCATACATTGCATTGTATATTATTATTTTTTATGTTTTTTTTTTCAGTGTATTTTCAAGAGCGGACAAACGTTTATTTAAGCGAGTGCGTTGTAATTATTTTGAAATTTATTATTAAATTAATTTTAATTGTAATAATGCGCATGTTAAAATGCAGCTGCGTCTTTTTTTTGTATTGATTTTAATTTATTTATTCAACACTTATGCAGGGGGAAACAGCGAGAGAGAGAGAGAGAGAGAGAGAGAGAGGGAGGGAGATGGATATGGAGGTGTGTGCAGCGAGCGTTAATCATTTTCATTGGCAAAATAAAATGAAATTAAAAATGCATTTTAATGCATAAAGAGAATTTGCAATGTTTACAGTTAAGCACACACACACGCACGCACACACTCGCAGCAGCTGCTGACCACATTTTATGCCTCATCTAATTGCAGCTGTGCGTACGTGTGTGTGTTTTGTGCATATATTTTAATTAACCCAAAAAGCCAAAACAAATGTCGCCTCAGCTCCGAGTGGGCGTATGCTCAACACAAGTGGGCGTGACCGTGTCAATTGTTATTACGTGTGATTTGTAAACTAATACAAAGGCTTAAGAGTGCGTGTGCGTGTGCATGTGTGTGTGCGTGCGTGTGTGTGTGGTCTTTATATGTAGGCTGCAAATTGTTGAACAGATTTCGTTGCCTACTTTCAGGCGAGACCAAATGACAGCAGCAGCAGCAACAACAACACCAATGGCAGAGAGCTGCCGGGGAGTAAACTGTAAAGAGTAGAGGAGAGTAAAGAGTAGAGAAGAGTGAAGTCGAGTGAAGAGCTTCAGAGCAGCGGAGTGAAGAGTGAAACGTAACTCGTTAGAGACCAAAACGGACGTGCTTAAAATTTCACAAGCTAACACACACTCGTACACACCCACACACTTCTACATGCGTAAAGAGTGCGTCTGTTTGGTTATGTTGGCTTGTGTTTGTGCGTATCCTTTATGGATTAAATCCGCATGCCTGCGGTTGGCCACAAGATCAACTGTTGGCAGAAGTATGTCAACACGAGTGCACGACGATGAGCTCACAGCAAGTGGTCATAATGGTTGACCTGTGTGTGTGTGTGTGTGTGCGTGTGTATGTGTGTTGTGCTAATAATG